TTACCTTTTCACACTCACGCCCCTGAGGGACCCCTTTGAAACCGTCACAGGTAGGAGCGAGTCGGCAGCTTATGCATGAATAATCAAGAGCATCACTCTGCGACGGCCTCTAAAATACGTGGGAGCAAATGGCGCTGGGCATGGTGCAAATGACGCAGGCCTGTCCCGGTTCGTTATTGCTTATGGCACAGCGGCTTCTGACTCAGTGGTGGTTTCGAGGTAAACTAGCTTGCTATGCTTAATGTATCTAAAAATCTAAGTGTTTCGAATGTGAGTAGCCGGCAGCCTACATGTATCCTCCCTCTCCTTCATATCGCTCCGGATGACTGAGAAGATCGAGGGTTTTGAATCTTTTCCCGCAGCTTCAGCCGGGGCAGAGATCACGGAAACGGGCCAAATGCTGAAAGACTTATGGTGTTGGTGTGTTACTACTTAGTAGAAAGCACCATATGCAGTTGCAGTTGCAGACGAAGATGAAATGCCAGAAGATGAGTCTGCAACTAAAACTGAGAAAAGAAGCACTGGCCCAATATCTTTCTAATTTTATTTTGGTGCCGTATTTTGTTTTATTAATAACCTTTCATCTTGATTTATCGAGGGAGCGACGAAGGAGCAGAGTACCAGTTTGGGGAACAACGGTAGTGCCGAAATGACCTGCGAGTGTTATTTTGATCCACAGTACGAGTAGCGCTTATCAGTTTTCCTTTTTCTCGCAGCATATCCATATCGAGCGTACTATTTTCTGAACCAACATCCAATCCGGGGGTGGACTTGTGCACGCATCTGCGTGTGTGAGAAGGGGCGAGACAAAGGGCGAGCAATCACCTATTTTTCAAGGGCAACTACAAAGTAGACAGTGCTAGTACACGATAGTCATACAACCATCACTCGTGTGCATACTTCTACAATATTATAACAACTGCGATTCCTATTCCGTGGAATAAAACAGAAAGAAATAACTCCTTCTCGTCCCCTACTGATGCTCAATTTTCGCACCCCAAAATCGATACAGCGGAAGCGAGTAGCCGGCTATTGAAGGCGCTTGAAGCCACGCAACTCAAGCCGTTGCAGTACCAAAAACACGAAGAGTCGGCGCCCATCTCAGCGATTAACCTAATGGCGCAAATACTAGTTGGCAACCCGTGGAATTTGGCTCGCGAAAGAAATGCCCATGGGCATCTTTTTTACACCTGGACCTCGGTGCCGGCAGGAAGCGATGAAGCTGCAAAGCTCGTCAAGCAGTACTGTGCGGACCCTCCGCAAGAGCTGCCACGAGCTGGAGTCTTGTCTGCCGCTCTTGCGGGGTTCGGCTTGCCCTCCGAGACCTCCCACGGCGTCAAGCTCTAACCCCCAGAATTAGCAGAGACAACTTTTACGAAGATCCTTAAGCGATTATCAGATTATGTATAATACATACTATGTATGAAAAGTCTTTGAAGAAGCTTGGCGCCTGTAGCGGCTCCATTATCTCTATATAGAGAGAAGGCGTTATGGATACAGAGGAGATGTGCATCTGGAAAGAAGGCGGCTCCCCTTGTCGAGACTTGTCGACTACGTGGATATATTTCAAAAGTAATGGTAATCTCTCTAATGCAACTCCTTTCGGTGCTGATGTTGCGGTGGGTCGTCGGGAGACTATCTACCCGAAAAATGTAGGAGAGAAGAGCCAGTTGAAGATATGGGTACGAATATATGTGATTACGATCAACAAGACATTGAGGATTATAAATATGTAACGAAAATAATTGAAGCACTGCTTTAATCTGATCGAACCAGATGAGCAAGCTGCTCTAACTATGAGAATTATTCTTATTGCATAAGACCTGTTCATTCACTTGCAGCTACATCGAAAGAACTGAAAATATAGAAAGAAGCAGCACGTTCGAATAATAGTGGAGTCGATGTGCTGCTGGCGGGGATGATGTCGTCGTGATGGAAGAAATTATACAAACTGATGTCAGAAAAAACAGCAATCACGATAAATGTATCACAGACCAAAAATATTGAAAGTAAAAGTATTACAACATTAACATTTTGAATGGATTTTTTTGTACAAAAGTAAGAAGTTGTTTGTAAAGAATGAGAAAACATTAAAAGATTTTATAATAATTTTTTTAAGTATTTTTTAGAGAAGTGAGTGTTTTTTTTAACCCAACCTAACCAAGTCAGTCAGAAAAAGTATCACAAATGTTATGTCCATGTTTCTGGTGATTTTGGCACACTGACTTAGACGGCAGGTCTGCTGTCGACAGGTTTGCAGAGGATGATCTCATGTCTGTGCCGAAAACATTTTTAGAGGTAGCTAGTGTTGAAGTACAGCACTGCTAATGCTTCGTTTTGTGAAGTTCTTGGCCGCTTGGAGCTTAGTATCACAGAAATACTGTCAGACCACGTCTCTACGGTCACCATGAACGGCGATAACAGGGACAACAGCATGCGTCCCCGGAAGATGCCAACATTTGATATGGTCATTGCTGCGGTGGCTTCTCCTAGCAGGTGGAGGTGCGCTGCAGGAGCAAAGGGGCATATCCAT